TGGAATGTAAAACAATACAAACCATGCCCATGGACTTGTTTCCCAAAATATTTAGTCACATCGGAAATATGTTTCCCAACAGCACCTTTACATGGGGAGAGAACATGTTGAACTTATGCCCCTTGTAAAGATCTGAACTGAGGGGCTCTGGGACCTTCCTGGAACGTTTTTACTCTTATGCAGGAGGCAGCCATACAAGCCAACCGCTTCGCTTGGTGGGCGGATTGTTGCCGAACGTGACGTGCAACTCGTGCGAAGCCGCTGAAAGAACGGGTTAGTGTTTGCACGGTGCCTGAGATGTTGACATGGCGATAGTAGGGAGGGAAGCGCTGGCAGCTTCTAACATGAACAACAAAGTGGCAGAGGAGGAGGAGGAGGAAGAGGAGGAGGAGGAGGCGGAGGAGGAGAAGGAGGAGGAGGGGGAGGAGGAAACTCCTCGAGGGCGTCTCGGAACACCAGGAGAGGGTCCAATATTGGAGCCAAGCGCAAAATTGAGCCCCAGGTCCAATATTGGACGTCCGGTTTGGAAAATCGAGAGGCGTGGAAAGCCCCGACGACACGTCCGAACGTGGGTCCAATATTGGCCCTATGTGCCGCCCTTATTTGTCTAATGCCGCGATCATGTCTGAGGATGGCCCCCGCCATGATATCCCCCCCCTAGTCATCACCCCCCTCTTACCTGAGATCCGACGTAGCGAAGGAATTGCAACATCGTGAATATCCGCGCCCGGAGCCCCGGACCCCGCCTTTCTGCGCCATGTTCCGAGCCGCATCGATCTGTGAGGGTCCCGGGGCCCTGAAAAAGCCCCCCCCCAAAAAAGACACCAAAAATCGTCCCCCGGACCGTGTGGACTATTTTTGAGTACTCCTCTTGCAGAAGGACACGCCCGACTTAACCCTGGTCATCACCCTCCTCTTTCCGGCTGGGCGAAAGGAGGGGATAGCAAAGGGGGGAGTGAGAATCAGCTTGCGTTTCCCGGCGCCTCCCAACGCCAGAGGCGCCCCAGTATCGAGGAATGGGCCCGGCGGCGGGCCGAAACCAGCTGCATACAGCAGATTTCGTAACCCCCCCTTTCCCTATCTCCCCCTTTCGTTGAGCTCCCCGAACGCGCGGCCCTCGCGCGCTTTTCGGTTGCTGTCGTCCACGGGGTCGCGGGCGGCGAGAGCCGGGAGGCCCCGCGCACCAGGCCCAGAGGCGAGCGGGCGGTGGCATAGCCAGGCCAGGGAGTGCTCACGAGTCGGGCGAGGGTCGTGGGCTCAAGGACACACAAATAAGCACACACGCACGCAAACACCCAGGACCTTCCATGTCGTTCCATAGTTTCTGGGTTTTCGTCTTCCCCCCCGCTTCCCATAGTTTCCTCTATTGTCCTGGGAGTCGACGCTTCATTGTGTCTGTGTGTTTTTCCCCTCCTGAGACGTGGGAGCAGAGTGGTCCGGAGGGAAACAAGTGGTCCTGAGGGAAAGCTGGTCCGGGGGTGCTTTGCTTTCCCTTCCTTCCTTCCTTCCTTCCTTCCGTCCTTCCGTCCTTCCTTCCTTCCTTCCTTCCTTCCTTCCTCCTCCTCCTCCTCCCCCTCCTCCTCCTATAGCCCTGTTGAGCGCAAGCATTGCATTCTCGAGTCCATTTTATCGTTCCTGCCCACGCGCCGAACGGCATATGGCTTCGTGCTCGTGCTCGAGGAAGGCGTACCTGAAGGCTTTCTGCCGCTTCCGGGCTCTCGGGGCCCTCCACGGACCCTGGGAGCGTCGGAGAACGCATCGGGATGCAGGACTCGTCCTGGGAGAGAAGCCCGAGGGTCAGGACTCCTTCCCCTCAAAACCCGTTTCCCTGCACGAACCCTACTTCCGTCACCTCTTGTCCGTTTGATTCTCTCCCTCTTCCTCATCCGCCTCTCATACCTCTTCTCCGGGCCCAAAAATGGACCTGGGGTCCAATATTGGACTTGAGGCCCAATATTGGACCTTCAGATGGGTCAAATCGGGTTCCAAATTGGACCTGGGGTTCAATATAGGACTTCCGGATTGGGAAATCGTCACGCGCACAAAAACGCAGAGAATTCTCCGAACCGAGGTCAGATATTGGACCTCCATATTGGAAAGTATCCAATTTTCCAATCCGCCAATCTTCCTATGGGGTCCATTACCACGAACCCATCCAACCAGCTCCAATATTGGATAGACGTCCAATCAGTCCAATCATCCAATCGCCCAGCAGGCCCTCGAGCGAAAAGCAAACAAACGCTGCCCTGGGTGGGGGAACCGCATGCGGCCGTCAGTGGAGCTCCCTATGGGGCTACGAAACGCTGCCCTGGGTGAGGAACCGCATGCAGGCACCCCCACTGGGGCCTTCGGTGGAGCTCCCTATGGGGCCACGAAACGCTGCCCTGGGTGGGGGGAACCGCATGCGGGCATCCCCACTGGGGTCTTCGGTGGAGCTCTCTATGGGGTTACGAAACGCTGCCCTGTGGGGGGGAACCGCATGCGGGCACCCCCACTGGGGCCTTCGGTGGAGCTCCCTATGGGGCTACGAAACGCTGCCCTGGGTGGGGGAACTGCATGCGGGCACACCCACTGGGGCCTTCGGTCGAGCTCTTTATAGGGCCACGAAACGCGGCCTTCGGTGGAGCTCCATATGGAGCCACGAAACGCTGCCCTGGGTGGGGGAGCCGCATGCGGACACCCCCACTGGGGCCTTCGGTGGAGCTCCCTATGGGGCCACGAAACGCTGCCCTGGGTGGGGGAACCGCACGTGGGCACCCCCACTGGGGCATTCGGTGGAGCTCCCTATGGGGCTACGAAACGCTGCCCTGGGTGGGGGAACCGCATGCGGGCACCCCCACTGGGGCCTTCGGTGGAGCTCCCTATGGGGCCGCGAAACGCTGCCCTGGGTGGGGGAACCGCATGCGGGCACCCCCACTGGGGCCTTCTGTGGAGCTCCCTATTAGGCCACAACACGCTGTGCTGGGCGTGGGAGCCGGCTGCGCCCCCCCCCTCTGGGGCCTTCGGTGGAGCTCCCTATGGGGCCACGAAACGCTGCCCTGGGTGGGGGAACCGCATGCGCCCCCTCTCCCCACTGGGGCCTTCGGTGGAGCTCCCTATGGGGCCACGAAACGAATCAGCCATGGCGATGCCGATGATGACGATGATGGTGATGGTGATGGTGATGGTGATTATGGTGATGGTGATGGTGATGATGATGATGATGATGATGATGATGATGATGATGATGATGATGATGATGATGATGACACTGATGGTGATGGTGATGGTGATTATGATGATGATTATGATGATGATGGTGATGGTGATGATGATGATGATGATGATGATGATGATGATGATGATGATGATGCTGATGATGATGATGATGATGGATGATGGTGATGGTGATGATGATGATGATGATGATGATGATGATGATGATGATGATGATGATGATGATGATGATGATGATGATGATGATGATGGGAGGAGGGGGTGAGCTGAGACATGCGGAGAGCAAAGGAAAGGATGGGGGAGGAGGGAGGAGGAGGAGAGGAGGAAGGAGGAAGGAGGTGGGACGCGGGGCGCTGTCTCTTCAAAACGAGGACCCAACACCACAGGATGGTTGGGAAAAAGAGTGGTGGCCGCTTTTTTTGTGGGGCGATCTAGGCAGTGGTGCGTGGAAAAACGTGACACTCGAGCGCCAAAGGGTTGGGGCTGCCATGATGTAGTCGGCTGTCCTCTTCAGGAATGTAGCCGCGACCTTACAAGAAGACTTTGCCGCCTGTAAATTAGCCTGGCGAAGGACCCAACCATATGCAACTGTGAATACCGCAAGTGTGAATATCGTTTTCGGCGGCGCTACCTCTGGGTAGTGGAGACGCATGCGAACACCCCCACTGGGGCCGTCGGTGGAGCTCCCTATGGGGCTACGAAACGCTGCCCTGGGTGGGGGAACCCATGTGGACACCCCCACTGGGGCCTTCGGTGGAGCTCTCTGTGGGGCCACGAAACGCTGCCCTGGGTGGGGGAACCGCATGCGGGCACCCCCACTGGGGCCTACGGTGGAGCTCCCTCTGGGGCTACGAAACGCTGCCCTGGGTGGGGGAACCGCATGAGGGCAGCCCCACTGGGGCCTTCGGTGGAGCTCCCTCTGGGGCTACGAAACGCTGCCCTGGGTGGGGGAACCGCATGTGGACACCCCCACTGGGGCCTTCGGTGGAGCTCCCTCTGGGGCTACGAAACGCTGCCCTGGGTGGGGGAACCGCATGTGGACACCCCCACTGGGGCCTTCGGTGGAGCTCCCTCTGGGGCTACGAAACGCTGCCCTGGGTGGGGGAACCGCATGTGGACACCCCCACTGGGGCCTTCGGTGGAGCTCCCTATGGGGCTACGAAACGCTGCCCTGGGGGGGTGGACAAGCTCCCTCTTACTGGGACACCCCCACTGGGGCCTTCGTGGAGCTCCCTTGCTGCCCTGGCGTGGGGAACCGCGACCCCCACTGGGGGCCTTCGGTGGAGCTCCCTCTGGGGCTACGAAACGCTGCCCTGGGTGGGGGAACCGCATGTGGACACCCCCACTGGGGCCTTCGGTGGCTCCCTATGGGGCCACGAAACGCTGCCCTGGGTGGGGGAACCGCATGTGGACACCCCCACTGGGGCCTTCGGTGGAGCTCCCTATGGGGCCACGAAACGCTGCCCTGGGTGGGGGAACCGCATGCGAACACCCCCACTGGGGCCTTCGGTGGAGCTCCCTATGGGGCTACGAAACGCTGCCCTGGGTGGGGGAACCGCATGTGGACACCCCCACTGGGGCCTTCGGTGGAGCTCCCTCTGGGGCTACGAAACGCTGCCCTGGGTGGGGGAACCGCATGTGGACACCCCCACTGGGGCCTTCGGTGGAGCTCCCTATGGGGCTACGAAACGCTGCCCTGGGTGGGGGAACCGCATGTGGACACCCCCACTGGGGCCTTCGGTGGAGCTCCCTATGGGGCTACGAAACGCGTGAGAGGTGTGCCGAGAGCAGAGGCAAGGAGGGGGAGGAGGGGGAGGAGGAAGGAGAGGAACGCGGGGCACCGTCTCTTCAAAACGAGGACCCAACACCACAGGATGGTTGGGAAAAAACGTGGCTTCTCGAAGCCAAAGGTGAGTTGGCGTAGTGTCGCCCTGTAGAGTAGCCTGATGATACAGGCTGAGATATGGCATACGGCTTGTCAGGGAGCGAGGAGGGAGGGAACTTATAGGAAGGCCTCAACCTCCGCGTCGTGCTAAATACGGTGATCCGACTCGTGCTCACCGATCTCCGCGACCTGCTCCGACACGTTGGCCTCAACCTCGCGCTCGGGTGTTGGGCTCCTGCCACGGCCCGGACATCTGCGCGTCACCAGGCAGCCAAGCGCGACGCAGCAGACCTAGAACAAGATCAAGATAACAGCGAAGACTGCAATTAATCCCCATGGCTCGGTGGTGGTTGTGGTGTTTGACTCAAACGTGAAAAAATTCGTGAATGTGGTCGTTGCGGTGGTCGTCTCAGCTGTTGTCTCGGTGGTTGTCTTGATGATGGTAGTAGTGCTTGACGCTGCGGAACTCGTGCCCGTGTCGGTGGTCGTCGTGGCCGTCTTGGTGGTCGTCGCGGTGGTCGACTCATTTGTTGCCTCGATGGTTGTCTTGATGATGGTAGTAGTGCTTGACGCCGCGGAACGCGTGCCCGTATCGGTGGTCGTCGTGGCCGTCTTGGTGGTCGTCTCATTTGTTGCCTCGGTGAAGTCGAACACGTACGCGGAGCCTGAACTGGTGCCCTGGTCGTTGTCAAAAATGGCCCCCACCACCACGCGGGCCCCGTCGGAGCTCACGGCCACCGAGTAACCGAACTCGTCTTCTGCGGCCCCATCACTCGCCACAAGCTTGAGCAACCTCTCGCCGGTGGTACCGTCGAACACGTACGCGGAGCCGGAACTGGAGCCCTGGTCGTCGTCACCTCTGGCCCCCACCACCACGCGGGCCCCGTCGGAGCTCACGGCCACCGAGTAACCGAACTGGTCGCCTGCGGCCCCATCACTCGCCACAAGCTTGAGCAGCCTCTCGCCGGTGGTACCGTCGAGCACGTACGCGGAGCCTGAATCAGGGGCCTGGTCGTCGTCCAAAATGGCGCCCACCACCACGCGGGCCCCGTCGGAGCTCACGGCCACCGAGTAACCGAACTGGTCGCCTGCGGCCCCATCACTCGCCACAAGCTTGAGCAGCCTCTCGCCGGTGGTACCGTCGAGCACGTACGCGGAGCCTGAATTGTCGTCTTGGTAGGCCCCTACCACCACGCGGGCCCCGTCGGAGCTCACGGCCACCGAGACACCGAACTGGGCGTATGCGGCCCCATCACTCGCCACAAGCTTGAGCAGCCTCTCGCCGGTGGTACCGTCGAGCACGTACGCGGAGCCTGAATCGGTGCCCTGGTCGTCGTCTCGGTTGGCCCCCACCACCACGCGGGCCCCGTCGGAGCTCACGGCCACCGAGACACCGAAATAGTCGCCTGCGGCCCCATCACTCGCCACAAGCTTGAGCAGCCTCTCGCCGGTGGTACCGTCGAGCACGTACGCGGAGCCGGAACTGGAGTCTTCCTCACCAATGGCCCCCACCACCACGCGGGCCCCGTCGGAGCTCACGGCCACCGAGTAACCGAAGTGGTCGAGTGCGGCCCCATCACTCGCCACAAGCTTGAGCAACCTCTCGCCGGTGGTACCGTCGAGCACGTACGCGGAGCCAAAATCAATGCCCTGGTCGTCAGCGTAGTAGTAGTCGGCCCCCACCACCACGCGGGCCCCGTCGGAGCTCACGGCCACCGAGACACCGAACTGGTCGAATGCGACCCCATCACCCGCCAAGAGCTTGAGCATCTGCGCGCTGGTGGTAGCCTGGCGCCTGCCGAACTCGGCCTGCGGCTCGCGAGGGCGACCGCTCGCCGAGCCCTCCAGCCTCGGGCGGGCCAGCGTCCCGCTCGCTGGCGACCCGGCGTTCGGGGCGCCGCGCGCTACCAGCAGCAGGAGCAGCGCGCCGACGCTGTGAGACGTGCGACGGCGCATCATGCCGTCTGCAGATGTGCGGCGCTGACAGAACCGAGAGACGCCCGAAGGGAGCCCTGGGAAGCCGGCGGCTCCTGGGCCATATAGGGGCTCTCCTGGGCCGTCTTGGGACGATTTTGGCGTTTTTTTGGGCCGTCTTGGGGCGGTCTTGGGGGCCTCTTCGGCCGCCTTGGAGCGGTTTTGGGAAACTTTTGGACGGCCTATATGTACATGTGTATATATATATATATATATATGGAAGAAATTGAAATACGTGGAAGGAAGTGGCACGACTCGGGAGGGCTTGGGAGAGGGTAGTATATATATATATATATATATATATATAAAATATATATATAATATACATATATATATGTATACATAATACATATGTACAAGACATATAGGACGTAACAGGAAAGACAATCTATAGAAACAAACGTACGTCGTCCAAGGCGCCTCGGAAGGCGCCTCGGAAAGCGCAGAATACTCCTCCAAGGCGCGGAATCATGTTCCCGGACCGCCTTCCGGGAACATGATGGGGACGACCTCCTGAGGGCCTCCAGTGGGCCTCTTGGGGGCCTCTCGGAGGCCTGTTGGGCTCTCCTGGAGGCGTCTTGGGAACGTATATATATATATATATGTATATACAATATATATATACATATGATGTTATATATATAAGAGGGAAGACTTGAAATACGTGGAAGGAAGTGGCACGACTCGGGAGGGCTTGGGGGAGGGGTACAACACATATATATATATATATATATATATATATATATATATACATATATACATACACACACACACATATATATATATAACAAAACACGTAATACATGTAGGATTGTGTACACAAGGGAAGGACAATCTATAGAAACAGACGTACGTCGTCCAGGGCGCCTCGGAAGGCGCCTCGGAAAGCGCAAAATACTCCTCCAAGGCGCGGGCTCATGTTCCCGGACCGCCTTCCGGGAACATGATGGGGAGGACCTTCTGAAGGCCTCCAGTGGGCCTCTTGGGGGCCTCTCGGAGGCCAGCTGGGCTCTCCTGGAGGCGTCTTGGGGCGCGCTCAGGGCCATGTTTGGGCATCTTGGGGGCCTCTGGGGGCCTCCGGGGAAGCTCTTGGGGGCCTCTTTGGGCCCTCTTGGGGCCTCGCGGGGCCCTCTTGGGGACCGCTGGGCTCGCTTAGGCAGTCTTGAAGCCCTGTCGGGGCTCTCCTGGAACCGTCTTGGGCGGCTCCTGGGCCATCTTGGGGCTCTCCTGGGCCGTCTTGGGACGATTTTGGGGGTCTCTTAGGCCGTCTTGGGGCGGTCTTGGGGGCCTCTTCGGCCGTATTGTGAGACTCTTGGGCGGTCTTGGAGCGTCGAACCCCGAAAAAACGAGAAGGCCAAAAACAACAAAAAAAATAAAAATAAACGATTTTGGTTTGTCGGGGCTCTCTTGGGAGGCCTCTTGGGATGCCTTGGGGGCCTCATGGAGCTCTCTTGGAACGTCTTGGGGCCTTCCTGGCCATTCCTGAGGCTATCTATGCGCGTCTTGGAGCGCTCGCGGGCCGTCTTGGGCGGTCTCGAACTGTTCCTGGCGGTCCCAGGGGCCCTCCGGGACGCTTCGGACGCTCCCGGCCCGGGGGCGCCCTGCATCCCCCATGGAGATGACAGGCACCGCCCCGGGGCCCTACTCCTATATATATATATATATATATATATATATATATACACTAGAACCACGCGCGCGCTTCGCGCGCGCTTAGGTTCTGTCGAGTCACAGACCCAGGAATCGTTGTGAGAAGAAATTGGGGACGCGAAGTCGAAGCCAATCTGGCGCCAATCTGGCGGCCCCATTCTGGCAAAAGTTGGCAATCTGGCGAGGGAGCCAGCGAGGTTACAGACTGGCGAGCAAGGAAAAACCTCCAACCTGGCCACGCCAGAGTGGCCCTGGAACCCAAGGCAATCTGTCAGTCTGGCCTTCGACTGTCGAGGAGAAGGGCGAGACACTGGAAACGCAAAGTCGTCTCAAAATCGACCCCGGGACTCCGAACGCTCCAACGTTTCGGGCTGCGCCCGCCCGCTGCGACGAGGGGCCCTAGACCAAGGTGCCCCCAGGACTCCCCGGGAAGCTTCGGCGGCGTCCACAGCACCCCTCCTCCTCCTTCTCCTGCTCCTCCTCTTCCTCCTCCTCCCTCTCCTCCTCCTCCTCCTCCTCCTCCTCCTCCTCCTCCTCCTCCTCCTCCTCGTCTTCCTCCTCATCCTCGTCCTTTCCCGAGCGATACAAAAACAACTTGCGTGGAACCCCTCTCGGGCCCATCTTGGGGCTCTCTTGGTCCGCCTTTGGAGCCTCTTGGGGCGTCCTGGGTCTCTCGTGGGAGCTTCTTGGAGCTCTCTTGGCGCCTCCTGGAGCCTCTTGGGGCCGAAAGCTCGGAATTCTACAGTGGCTTTCTCCCTCTGGGACCCCTCTCGGGCACGCCTTGGGGCTCTCTTAGGCCATTTTGGAGTCCAATTTTGCCGTCCTGGGCGCCTCGGGAACCGTCTTGGAACTCTCTTGGGGGCCACCTAGGCCGTCTTGGGAGCCTCTTCGGACGTGTTGGACGCGGTAAACACCCAACAGGCGACCATGCGAAAAGTATACGTTGTCCCATAGGAATGGGACCATTTTTGCTTCTTGGACCTCTCTTGGGGTGCCTCTCGGAACGTCTTGGGCTGATTTTGGAAGCCTTTCGGCGCCTCTGGGCGGCGTTTTGGCGCCTCCTGGGATGTGTTGGGCCGGAAGCTCGGAATTCGAGAGTGGCTTTCTCCTTCTGGGACCCCTCTCGAAGTCGTCTTGGGGTTCTCTTGGGCCGTCTTGGGGCCGTCCTGAGCCACTCGTGCGCAGCCTTGGAGCGCTCCCGGAGGCCTCCTAGGCCGTCTTGGAGGCCTCTTGGGCCGTCTTGGACGCGGTGAAAGCCCAAGATGCGAACATGCGAAAAATATACGTTTTCCCATAGGAATGGCACGATTTTGTTTCTTGGACCTCTCTTGGGGTGCCTCTCGGAACGTCTTGGGGTGCTTTTGGGAGCCTTTTGGCGCCTCTTGGCGGCATTTTGGCGCCTCCTGGAGCCTCTTGGGCCGGAAGCTCGGAATTCGAGGTTGGCTTTCTCCGTCTGGGACCCCTCTCGAACTCGTCTTGGGGCTCTCTTGGGCCGTCTTGGGGCCGTCCTGAGCCACTCGTGCGCAGCCTTGGAGCGCTCCCGGAGGCCTCCTAGGCCGTCTTGGAGGCAACTTGGGCCGTCTTGGACGCGGTGAAAACCCAAGATGCGAACATGCGAAAAATATACGTTTTCCCATAGGAATGGCACGATTTTTGCTTCTTGGGCCTCTCTTGGGCTGCCTCTCGGAGCGTCTTGGAGGTTTCTGGGACCGTCTTGGTGTCATGACAGGCGTCTTGGAAGGCATCTGGAGCCATCGGAGCGCGTTCCGGAGCCGCCTGCGAACGAACTTGGACGGCGTCCGGCGGTCCGACGAGCCTCCGGGCCCCCCGGGGCCCACATTTGCGGTCGGGGTCCCGGCCCCGGGCCCCCGGACCCGGTGCGCCGTTATATGTGTGTGTATATATATATATATATATATATATACCATACGTAACACATGTAGGATTGTTTACACAGGAGAAGGACAACTTATGGAAACGTAGTACGTCGTCCAAGGCGCCTCGGAAGGCGCCTCGGAAAGCTCAGAATACTCCTCCAAGGCGCGGAATCATGTTTCCGGACCGCCTTCCGGGAACATGACGGGGACGACCTTCTGAGGGCCTCCAGTGGGCCTCTGATGGGGAGGACCTTCTGAAGGCCTCCAGTGGGCCTCTTGGGGGCGTCTCGGAGGCCTGCTGGGCTCTCCTGGAGGCGTCTTGGGGCGCGTTGTGGGCCATTGTTGGGCATCTTGGGGGCCTCTATATATGGGGAAGAATTTGAAATACGTGGAAGGAAGTGGCACAACTCGGGAGGGCTTGGGGGAGGGGGGTATATATGTATATATGTTATATATATGTATATCTATATATATAATATATTATGTTATATATATATATATATATATATATATATATATGTGTGTGTGTGCGTGTGTACATATATATGTATATAGATATATACCCATACGTAGGACATGTAGGATTGTGTGCACAGGAGAAGGACAATCTATAGAAACGTAGTACGTCGTCCAAGGCGCCTCGGAAGGCGCCTCGGAAAGCGCAAAATACTCCTCCAAGGCGCGGAATCATGTTCCCGGACCGCCTTCCGGGAACATGACGGGCACGACCTTCTGAGGGCCTCCAGTGGGCCTCTTGGGGGCCTCTCGAACGCCTGTGGGGCTCTCCTGAAGGCGTCTTGGGGCGCGCTGAAGCAAATTGTTGGGCCTCTTGGGGGCTTCTGGGGGCCTCCAGGGAGGCTTTGGGGGGCCTCTTTGGGGCCTCTTGGGGCCTCGCGGGGCCCTCTTGGGGACCGCTGGGCTCGCTTAGGCAGTCTTGAAGCCCTGTCGGGGCACTCCTGGAACCGTCTTGGGCGGCTCCTGGGCCATCTTGGGGTTCTCCTGGGCCGTCTTGGGACGATTTTGGGGGTCTCTTAGGCCGTCTTGGGGCGGTCTTGGGGGCCTCTTCGGCCGTCTTGAAGCGGTTTTGGGAAACTCTTGGGCGGCCCTGGAGCGTCGGTACCCCGAAAAAGCGAGAAGGCCAAAAACCTAGAAAAAAAAACATAAAACAATAAACGATTTTGGCTTGTCGGGGCTCTCTTGGGAGGCCTCTTGGGATGCCTTCGGGGCCTCATGGAGCTCTCTTGGAACGTCTTCGGGCCTTCCTGGCCATTCCTCAGGCTATCTATGCGCGTCTTGGAGCGCTCGCGGGCCGTCCTGGGCGGTCTCGAACTGTTCCTGGCGGTCCCAGGGGCCCTCAGGGACGCTTCGGACGCTCCCGGGGGCGCCCTGCACACCCCATGGAGATGACAGGCACCGCCCCGGGGCCCTACTCCGATATATATATATATAATAATAATACTACTACTAATAATAATAATAATACTAATAATAATAACAACGATAGTAGTAATAATAATGATAATAATAATAAGGATGATGATAACAATGATAATAATAATAGTA